AATGAAAGCCCTTGAGTCAAGACAATCCAACAATGAAACAGTTTCACCTCTATAGCAAGTAACATGGAGCATAATAGAGGCATGTAAACCCCTCTTTTTTTATTTTTTTATTTTTTTATTTTTATTTTTTTATTTTAAAGAAATAGCATGCTTTATTATATATGGAGCAAAAGGATTCTGGGAATCCCTCCACATCTCAACCCGGACGCTGGGGCCATTACCCAGATTTGGCTCTTACTGGAAACCGGGTCCAGTGGCCCTTTCTCTTAAGAAACTTCATGCTATTCCTGAACAAAGACTAAACCGGATTAACAAAATGACAAAATAGCAAAAAACGAGGGAACCTGCCTTCTATCTTTCCACCCATCCTCATCTTAAGCCCTGAAACCGACCGCTTGTTGCTCGTCTTTCCCCTTACCTCCAACACCTCCACCTCTCTCTCCGCTCTCCTTAAACCCTAAACCCTACTGTCCTTGGCGACGTGGAGAGCGAGCCCCTATTTACATAAACCCCAGTCGTCTAAGTCCACTAACCTGAAATTATGCCCGCTAAGCTGTTTTCCTCTATCGTAAAACCTAGGTTATCCTGTCAATATTTTCTTTTTCAACCCGGGATGTACTGGGGCCGTTACGCAGGTGGGCTTATGCTGGAATCCGGGTCCAGCGTCTCATTCACTGCAACAAGCAAACACAAACTGGACAACGTAAGGCCAAAACAGAAATGAAAGGAACGAGTAATAGCTCTGTTCATCCCTATAGATCCATAATACCCCTTATCGCTTCCTTCAGCCTCTAAATTTTCTGCCCTTCCATCCCAATTGTTTCTTCCTATTACGCCCTTAGCCCTTGAAGGTCTAAGGCTTGCTCACCTATCACTTTTAACCTTAAACTTCTGCATCCTAAACTCCGTTAAATATGCTTCTACCTCCTAGAATGCCTTAAATAGGATTTCCTTTCACCTATCTAAACTTAACCTGCTTAAATGAGTGAAGAGAAGCAAATTAGTGGCCGCTTCCTCTCCACTTAAACTGTAGTCTGTTGCCTCGCAGAGCTGCCAGCTTTCCCTGGCCCGACACCCTTTGTGTGAATCGGGCCTTCAGCTGCTGCTCTAGATCCGGGCATTGGTACATCTGTCTCTGTACTCATTTCCATTGTGCCCAGAGATCTGTTTCTAGTAAATTGTAGAGAGCCCCGCATGCTTCTTCCTGGTGCACTGGCCTCTTCTCAATAGTAATCTGACAACGTCTCTTCCATATTGTCCATAGGGTATACTGCCTTATTAGCTGGAATATGGTCTACTCGTATGGCTGCCAGCTCCTTGGCAAGTCATGACCTAGCAGTATGGTTGCTTTGCTCTCAGGGAATGGTGACGCCGTGATTTGTCACCAAAGGGACTTGGCTTTCCCCCATAGGGCCGCTGCCTCAGGGCATATTAGAAGACAGTGGAGCATTGTTTCTGGGTCTCTCTCTTGACATATTACACACTGTGCGTTGGCTGGATCCCTCTGTGCCCTGCTCCTGCGATCGTTTAACCAGTCGTTTACTGGCGGTCCTATGTGGGCGATTAGCCACTGCAGGCTTCTGACCCTTCCGATGCGTATCGCGTTGATCTGTAGCCACAGCATTTTGGGTAGCTACCCCGGTGTGACTCCCACTTTGTTTTCCCATCGCTTGGACAGCGCCGGCGCTAATGGGTGCGACCTTCTTCTCAATCTGTAGCCAATTCTCGTTGTATAGTTTAGAAGGTTGATTCTTCTGATCACCCCAGTTCTTCCTCCTCTAAGATTCCATGCCCATTCTGCGGGGTCCACCTCCAAATCCACCAATGGTGTGGTTGGACTGTAGATTGTGAAATCGTCAGACTCTACCACCCTTACTTTGCGCAGGTGTTGCAGTTGGATAGTGATCGGAGTTTTAGTTGCCTGGTCCAGCTGGCTAGTGGTACTTCCCGGGCGCTTGATCTCGTACATATCTGCAACCGCCCATTCCTTCCTTTCCGGTTCCTGATTCCAGATTCTGAATGCAGCCTGTGGTTCCTCCTCCTGCTTCCATATGGCCCAGTCCCCTAGTCCCCACTGGGACTCCTTTCGGAGCAGTCTTGTCCATTCCTGCGGTATGGCCTGAACCAAGTCGTTAAGATGTTCTTCTAGTTTGTGGCTTCCTTTCAGCTCAGTTCTGAGCTCACTGCTTGTCTTCCATCGCCTGTTGCTGTCCTCCCATAGGTGCTTGATTTGCCACACCCCATGCTCCACCCATTTGCCCCATTTGGTGTCCCTTAGTGTAAGGGTAATTGGTTTCCCCTGGGCGTTCTTGATTCCTGGATTGCAAAATAAGGGCTGGCGCAGCACCTCTTCTTTTGTGCGAGGCTCCCTGACTCTTGCCGGGAAGATGTACTTCCAAAGCTTGACCATTTGGCTCCAATAGGATGTTTCCCTTGTGCCCTTCTCCGTGCCTACCTTGGCCCAGCTGCTGCACATTACCCAGAATAGACCGGTCATATTGGTCGGGATTTCATATTTAGCCAGGTGCCTGATGCGATCCAGGGCCAACGAGACCCAGGGTAGCTTCGGATGGGTGATCAACTTGATCACCCACTTGGTCTGTAAGGCCTTGAGTTGTTGATCCGAGTCCAGGATGCCCACGCCTCCCTGTTCCTTCGCGCCGGTGACGTGTCTCCACGCCACTTTGGAGATGAAGTGGGGTTTGGTTGGATTTGCGGTCCATAGGTATGCCGCCACGCGTCTGCGCAAAGCCGAGGTTGTCTGGGCTGGGGGAGACCATATTGTCCCGGCGTACCACAACATCGAGAAGATGGACGCGTTAAGTGTGAGGGCCCTTCCAAAAACTGATGTATATATTGTCGACCAGGCCGACAGCTTGGCCAGTATCTTGGTCATTAATTCGGCCGCCATGGACTGATGAGGACCTGTCTCTGTGATCCTGATTCCTAGATACCTCAGCGGCGTCCGCGTTGTCAACCATTTTAGCCCCTGCGGGTTGATAGTGGGGTCTGGACCTACCCCTTCTTGGTCTGTTAGCCACCATCCCACTGTCTTTGGCCAATTTATTTTCATTTCCGACGCCAGTTGAAAGGCCTCCATTGTCCGGGTGAGTGTTTGGAAAGAAGAATCCGAGGCTCTAATCAGCACTGTGAGATCATCTGCGAAAAGTATAATTGTCAGCAAGTAAACTAGCCGGCCCGGCTGGTCTGGTGTCGCGACTAAGAGTTCTATTGATGGATCTTTATGGAGGAAGGAGGCTATGGCTTCCATAATGAAGAGGAAGATTGGCGCTGCTAACGGATCGCCCTGCCTAACCGACCTCGACATCTTATATTTTGTTGAAAGATGGTCGTTGACTTGCACCTGCCCGCGCGCGTCATTATACAGGACTCTGATCCATTTTCGAAAATTCGGGCCTACCCCCATCCTTTCCATGCATTGTTGTAGGAAGCTCCAGTTCACCTGATAGTAAGCCTTTTCAAAGTCGAAAAAGAGAATTGTTGCGTTGATCCTTTTGTCCCTAATATAGCGTACCGATTCCGTCAACGTCATGACGTTGTCGAGGATGAAGCGCCCAGGGATAAACCTTGTTTGATCTAGATGGAAGCACCCCTCCGTGACCACCCGAAGTCTGTTTGCCAGGGCCT